TGGCTGGTATAAATATGAGAATTAGAGCACATGTGATGATTTGAGTGATTTACATTCGTGATGACAACGAACCTCTCAAAGGAGGTTCCTTGATGCTGGTGAGGGGCTCCTGATCTTAGGAATTAGACTTGTGCTCCAGTTCCTTGAATCGAGTCTAAATGCCTTCCATTACCCCGACGAGTTGAGCGCTTCCCCATAAAACAGTGACAATGAAATAATGAACAGGATAACCACGACAACAACGACAGAAATGGCAACAACAACAGCAATAACAGCCATAACAATAATCAAGTTAATTACTTTTCGTCTAATTTACGTTTTACCTCACGACGATTCCGGGAGTCATCGCTTCCTGGGTCCGGCCCCAAACCAGACCTCCCTGATTGACCAGGCTGTTGGTGCTGTCCCAACGCGTTCCAACAACAAAACAGCATCAAATAATTTCAGTAGCAAGCACCAACTAACATAAACAACAAATACAACAAAAGCAAACCGGTTGTGAAAGCAGCAGCACCCGTAAGGTTTTGTTAGCAGCAGGAGGATAATAATCCCAGCCATGCCCGTGTTCCCACCGGCCGCTTCCACACAAAATTCTTATTTAAGAGTTGAAGCAAAACTCTTTTATATATGAGTTGTGTGTAACGAGGCCATAAAACGCCATCATTGGGCCGGGTGCTGGCGGTCTCAGAAGGAAGGCACCAGCTTGAGTTCTTCCTTAGAGCAGTCTCGCTAAATTTAAGCTAATTTGTTGTGATTTTTGCTTCTTCTGAGACTTCCTCCAGTCACGCAGTGTTGAGGAGTATTAAGCTGTTTTATCTATTTTGTTTTTGTTTCTTCAAGGGGAGCTGCTTCAGTGCTGGTGAATGGCTCCTGATTGTAACCTGTTTACCTTCCTTTTCCCAGGCGGTGTGAGATCCTTATGGATTTAACGCTTCTCCGTGAGTGTAATATGTGAATCAAGTACATGGTGTGGGGGATGGGAAGCAGAGATTCCTTCTGGTAGCCTAAAAGACCAAGAAACTCAATTCTATATAGTACAGAGAATCGAGGAACAAACCGTTGTGTCAGTTGCTGGGAGGATACGTAAGGTTACCTTTTAGTTTTACCTGTTTTTTTGCTTCAGGAGCAGTACTGTCCTCGCGATGCGCAGTCTTCAGTGATTTTAGCTTCAGTAACACTACTATGCTCAGTGTAGTTATTGGTTTAATTCCCCAGTAGTGTAGCTGTGACTTCATCTTGTATCTAGCTCCAGCATTCTACCACTCGATGTATGAACAGCAACTTTCAAATCACCGTTCAGCACTTTTTTCCTCATTTAATAACTGTGGTATCTTGTTCTCCTCTTGAAGGTATAAGTACTACAAAATCATAATTGAATATTTCATATCCTTGCATGATCTCATATTTGGCTATCATGCCTCCTGTATTCCTTATAACAACCAGCGAGACCATTATTAGTCTAAGAGCCTCTTGTTTTTCATTTACGTATATGTGTATTTATTCACCTTAGGGGATGGAGATGACTGAGTCTTGACTGCTAGCTTGAACCTCATACTACTGGCTTCACAAGTTTTCTACAGCATGGGTCCTTTCGTATCTGTTTTGCAAGCTGTGCATGGTGTATGTGTAAAAGTGGCACCTTCCATGTCGTTCCGTTAAGAAAGTATTTATTTGCCGGTATGGATCCCGGTCCGGGTCACTTCCAGTTTGGTGACCCGGCATTGGCTCCCCGGGTAGGGAAGCGTCGTTTATCTTTTCTCGTACATGCGTGGCAGTCCTTCGGTGGGAAGGGGCTTTCCTCTTCGGTTCTATGAACAAATGTCCCAAAAGTTAGTTTGCTCTAACGGTAGTTGGCGTGGGGTGCAACGGAGGCCCTCAGCAGGCCTTCACAGCAACTTCAGCATGGGGAGGGAGGGGGGGGGAGTGACGTGCAATGACTGGGAGTAAGGTTTCCAAGTCTCTCATGGCAAAGTACACAAGATGTGCCGTCTCATCCTCCCGGGCCAGCCCCACTGGGGTCATTGGGAAGTGTCTACGGCGAAGGGGCATCGTAGCTGGGCAGTCTAACAGGTAGTGCCCCAGGAGTTTCGGAACTATCCGGTCACAGTGGGCACAGAGCTCCTCTTGTGCCCGTTCAACAATTCGTGCAGTGGTGGGATACCCTAAGCGTAGGCGGTGGATATGCTCCCGCAGTTCTCTGGTCTGCGTCCGAATACTTGGAGGGGGCGCTCTGTGAGTCGCCCTGTCATACCAGTGGCGGCTCCGTGAATCCCCAGGGTCAGGGATGTAACTTTTCGTAGATTGCAGGGTATTGAACCAGTGGCGAAAATTTTCAAGGCTGCCGGTCGACCCAACTGTGCTAATGGAAACCAGTAAGGTTATTATTATTATTATTATTATTATTATTTATTATTATTTATTATTATTGTGTTCACTAAAACGCTTATCTATTAGGGTCATTCATTATACCAGTGATTCCCAAAGTGGACGGTACCGCCCCGCTGGGGTCGGTGAAGAGATCCAGGGGAGAGTTGAGGAAAAAGGGGGCGGCAGGGTGGCATCAGAACCAAGGGAGGGTTTGCTTTACAAAATCTTTATAACAAAATCTAAGTCACGAGCACTTAAGCAACACAAATGCTTTACAAAGAATAAAATTAGCATAGAGTTATACACGAAAGCATAATTTTATTTTATTTTATGGTCCGAAGTCGGAGTTAAAAGTTCGAACGTTTGTTCGGACGCACCACACGCCACACGCCAGCCAGGTCAGACAGCAGACGTCGTAGGTATTGTTGATGAGCGGATTTTCACGTTTGCAAGGGCCAAGGCTCTAGGTTTGTACGCAATTCAAGTTATCTTCAGTCTTGTAATATACATTTTAAAGTTTAATTTAATAAAGATATAACTGAGTGGTATTGATGGAGGGACACCAAAGTGCTGTGCTAAGATGTGATTTATAGTTCGTATTAAGTATTTAATTTTTAGTTGAACATTCATACTTATATGATTGTGTCATGTACTTTTCCTAGTAAATGCATTGCTATATATTTCCTTATATTTTTTTCTGCTGCATTTTGTTGTCAGTGGCATGATTTTTACAAAAAAAAAAAAAACATTTTTTTTTGTTCCAGAATAAAATGTGGCATCACGTTGCTTATTTGCCAGACGTATTCACAACGCTCAACGAAGTTAATTTGCACTTTCAAAGAGACGAAGTAAATCTTATTAAAGTCAAATCGGCCCTTTCGAATTTTCTGTCTACGTTACAGTTGTTCGAAAGTGACATAGCCCATCATGAGCCCTTCCAGTTTCCGAGCTTCTCTAAACTGGAGGAGAAGAGCATAGCAGACGATGACCTTCAGGTGTATTGTGCACACCTGAATGAGCTGCATAGAGACATGTCTGACAGATTTCAGGATGGTTTTTTGCTTAAAATACCAGACTAGGTGATCAGTCCATTCCCAGATATCAGCAATGAGGAAACAGGAAAGGCGGAGGAAAAGCTGATTTCGCTCCAAAATGATATTGAGATGAGACCAAAGTGACCACTGTGACAACTATCCTGCACTGTGACCACTACCCTGCACTGTGACAGCTACCCTGCACTGTGACAGCTACCCTGTATTGTGACCACTGCCTTGCACTGTATCCACTACCCTGCACTGTGACCACTACCCTGTACTGTGACAGCTACCCTGCACTGTGACCGCTACCCAGCACTATGACCACTACCCTGCACTGTGACAGCTACCCTGCACTGTGACCACTACCCTTCACTGTGACCACTACCCTGCACTGTGACAGCTACTCTGCACTGTGACCACTACCTTGCACCTTGGGGCAAAGTCAAGATGTACTTTATTGCCTTCCTAACATCATATTCAGTAGAGCGAGGTTTTAGTGCAGTCGCCAAACTTCCTTTCAAGCAAAGAAACTGACTGAAAATTACAGAAAGCTGGGATCTACAACTTCTTCTCAGTGCCTAGTTCTAGACTGATGTTGAGAGGCTGATGTCCCTGCACCAAGCACATCCATCTCATTAAAATTGTAAAGACAGTGTAGTTACAGATGAGATGTAAATTTACAAATTCGTATTGTTAAATACATTGGTTTACTATGTTAATTTTTATTTGTGAAATAAATACGCTTAATCATAGTGTTAGATTGAATTTGCAATAAGCCTAATACCAAGAAAGAGGTGTGTTCGTATGTGTGCGTTGGGGGAGGTGAGCGATGGGGATGTGGCCTGGGAGCCAAGGGGAGGCTGCAGCCTAAAAAAGTCTGGGAACCGCTGCTTTATGCTCTCTCCACAAAAATCCCACCTTTTCTTACCAGGTTATTACTGTCTCCCTGATGCGTTATTTTTAACACGTTGTGAAACATATCTCAAAATTATCTGGTACACTTTCACAAAATCATACATATATTCCTTGTCAAAACAGACGGTCCGTTATGAGCGGCTGAAAAAAATTGGTGATTCTGTTAATGGGATTGAGTGCTTCCCTTGTATCATAACCAGATTATCCTGGTGATTTTTCGCTTGAAGAGAGCTTGAGGATACTAGACTGGCGGAAAAATCACGTTGAGTGCCAGGATGGACCACAGGCTACATTCGGATATCTTAAGAGATACCCAGGTGTTGCACATGTACTGATTATTAACTACTTGGTACTGTGTGCCTTTGATCTGGTAATAGTACCAGGATTATTCACGCACGCCTAGTGTACGTCTTTGGCCAGAATGGACGCCCAGTTTACATGTAGTGCTAAGATACAGATTGAGTGTAGGTCTAGTGTCCGTATAAACGTCCACCGTAAGTTTAGTGTAAAATAAGGAATACGTTCAATGTACGAAAATGTCCAATGAACGTCAAAGTAGAAGATGAACGCCCAGTGTACGTCTAGTGCAAAAAGGAACATCTCATGAACGTTCCTGTGAACGAGATGATTTGAAGTGGTTAATACTACATAAAAAAGCAACCAAAAGAACAACACTGTATATATGCTAATCTTTTAACAAATTTATTTAAAACGTACAAACAAGGTACCAAGTCACATTATTTGCACCCATTGAGGAAGCGAAGATCCTGCTATGACTTCCCTTTCTTGAAGTAAAACTTCAGCAGTGTTTTCTCATAATAACTTCAGAAGCAGCTTTGGTCAGCCACGTCTTCTCATGGGAACCTTAGAAGTTGGTGTGTTATTAGTGGGGAACTTATTATTTTTTTATCGGTAACAACAACAGAGCTCGTGGGCCTGTTATCAGTGCAATAACACGACAAAGGTTTTGTATTTATACAAATTATACATGAAGGATGTATTTGTATTAAAATTTCGGTATAAAAGCGAAGTTCCAAATATTTAATGTAAATGAGGTAATATAAATATATAATATATATATATATATATATATATATATATATATATATATATATATATATATATATATAAATATATATATATATATATATATATTTTATATATATATATATATATATATATATATATATATATATATATATATACGTGTATATTACCATATTATGTAATAAAATGTACTTATTGGTAAAAAAGAATGAAAAGATGGGTGGTAGGGGAAGTGGAATATTCAAACGGCTTCAGGAAGAAATCCAAATATTCTTCCTTGAAGTCTTTTTATCCACTTCTCCGAGGCTGTGGGTCCCACAATTTACACCAGAGGTGGACCCCAAAATGTATATATATATATATATATATAAATATATATATATATATATATATATATATATATATATATATATATATATGTATATGTATATGCAATAAGATCACAGTAAACAGGTGATATCAGAATATGCGAAACAACCACTGTGAAAGAATAATGAAATTCCAAGTGCTTTCGTGACTTCTCACATTATCAAGGAGGTTACGAAAGGGCTTGGAATTTCACTATTCTTTCACAGTGGTTGTTTTACACACACACACACACACACACACACACACACACACACACACACACACACACACACACAGACACACATACACACACACACACACACACACTAGGTGAGTACTAGGTGAGTACACACACACACACACACACACACACACATATATATATATATAATGATAATGTTCATAACACACGTATGTAAATTAAAGGAAACCTACAACATAATTAATTCGTTATGTACATGAAGTACACTGTGTTCAGATTGCTGTGTCTTGATCCACTTAATAGTCGCTGCCTCTATATTCTCGGCTGCAGTTCCCAGAGACGCAGCTGGGGTCCAGTGACTAAGGAGGGGGAGAAGGGAGAGGATGAGGAAGAGGAGGATGAGGAAGAGGAGGATGAGAAAGAGAAGGGGGAAGAAGAGAAGGAAAAGCAGGAGGGGGAGGAGGAGAATGCGTTTCCTTCAACGACGAATATGGTTGTTGCAATATTACAACTTTTTCTTTTTTCCAACTTCACTCGTCGAATTCAGTACACAGCTTTAAGTGCAGGAATAATAATTTTCCAAAGCCTAGAACCCAGTAAAAGTGATAAAAGTAGATTAGAAGGCAGGGTCAGGTGGAAAGACCCCCCCTCCCGAATAATACGACTCAGTGAGTACAACTTGGTGAGTACAACTTGATGAGTACACGTTTGTCTTATACCTGTTCAACTGCTTCAGCCGTTTCAAAAAAAAAAAAGGCTTCTGATCAATCTTCCTGGAGCTACCCTTCTCTCTCTTGGGTAAATATTGATCCCTTCTCATTTGACTCTTGCAGTTTTAGCTTTCCTCATAAACTTAATATTATTAATGTTTAAGTCATAAAATATCAGAGCTGACTTTTTGTCACGAACATCAAAACGGAACAACATCGTCGCATGAAATCCACTACCTCATGTTACTGCCTCAACTCGTTGTCATCCGTCTTCACGCGAACCTTCACCTGCAGTGTCCACTTCCCCATTTGTTGATAAAATTATCTCTTTTTCTCGGCAAGGTGAATGCTTTCAGACACCGACGCACTTACAGGATTGGCTGTGGCCTTGGGGAGGCGCGCAGTACTGGTCCATCTCGTAAACTGTAAGATGTCTCACGCATGATGTTACTTACCGGATAAACTGATGTCTCGGGCTCCGGAGAGACTTCGTGCATATCTGATGGCTCGGAAAATTTTCCATACATATGGAAACTTTTATAATTACTCTCTCGCTTTCAATTCGGTGTTGGTGTGTGTCTGAAGGGTCAGTTAGAGTCTTCCGTTACGCAAGCTCTTCCACATTTTTGTATAGTGTCGTCAACCTGTGCGTCTCCGCTCTCCTGTGTTTCCTGACGGTTCGTTAAGTGGTTTTCCGGGCTGCGTTCAAACTGTGCCCATGCTTCTAGCCTCTGTCTCTCCCGATCGTCACGATCCATCTGGAAAATATTGTAACGTAAATATCTGCGACTGTATACTCCACAAAATTTCTGGACAGCTTAACGTGGTCTCAGTTATGTCACATTCGTTACACATGTACCCTTTAACTAACATGTATACTCCAAGCTACAATCTACACTAACGGGAAAGGGCTCTTGATCTGAAGAATTACGGTACCCATCCTCAGATCAACCCTATTTCCGAGACTGTATAAATCTTACGATTTTAGCGCTTCCCCGTGAATATAATAATAAGTGGACTGGTGTTGGTGCAAACGCAATTACGCCGAGGTTTTTGAAGCCAAATACGCCAGGAAAAGTGCCACCAAGTGAATAATTAAACCTTGGCTTTACACTGTGTGTTTTTAACTCGCTCTCGCTCGCAAAATTAGTTGTGGTCTTGTAATGAAATATATATACTTTTTTTTCGGAAGCAGTTTACTGCTGGGGGAAGTGCGTCAGTTTTCTGCTATTCCTTGTTTACACCTCTTGATGCTAGGAACTGCAGCGTCAGCCCCGTATCTGGAATTAAACCTGATGACTTCCCATTCTTTAGAGCCTATATGATCCTTACGGGTTTAGCTCTTCCCCCATGAATGCAGTAACAAGTATTCATTTCTGAATAGTTTGTTTTATATGCATTTTTTTATTTTAATAATAGTTTTCCCATGATTAATTCTCATTACATGCTGGAGTGTGTATTACATACATTACATGTACCTGTGTTTAAATGTACAGTGGATCTGTAAATCTGTCTTACAGTGGGGCTTTTAACTGGAAAATTAAATATTACGTCACTGCGACCTATTAAGAAACACTTGAAATTAAGGATAAGTGTATACTTTACGTCAGTGTATTCTATGTATAAAAGTGTATGCCATATGTAAATTGGCGTTTGCATTGGGGAATAGTTCAGACACGCCCAGCACTTTACATTGCCTCATTGCATATGTACCGAGAAATGTGTCTGTCCTTTCATTGTAAATACACTGACAGGTGTGCATCTCCTAGATAAAAGATTCTTTATTTCAGTATCTGTATAGTCCTTGTGGCTTAGCGCTTCTTTTTGATTATAATAATTTATTTCAGTATGACACAATGTCTGTATGTAGGTGTGTGACATTAAGGCGTGCGTGCAGAAAGCCCCTTAGTATGCAGAGTATATTCATTGTGATATGTTGGTATCTCACTGGTTTATGTAACCTTATCTAATGCAATCAAATCTTATTTAACTAACCTAAACTAAAGTAACTCAAGCAAACCTTATTTCACCTAAACAAACCCAACGAAACCATAAGTAAACAACCTAGTCGAAACTGTGATAAGGCTGATTTTCTAAAACAGGTTAGGTTAGGCTGATTACCTAAACTAACCTAACCTAACCTAACCTAACCTAACCTGTGAGGGGTCTATGTGAGTGGTCTGTGAATATATGAGTTTCATAATTTCATATTTAATATCGGGCATACTGTTACCTTTATATGTATTTTATTTGCCCTAGGGTTATTATATATAATTTATCATTTTTCTTGAAAAATGCATAACACTTAGCAAATGGTAACCATTTCGAGACAAGCCCAGAAGGAAAGCAGATCAAGTGGGATGTAGACTAATTGGCAGTAGATCAAATGGGAAGTAGATTAGTTGGGAATGTACCATATGCAAGTAAACTAACAGAACAGACTGAATGGGATATCACTGTTAAGGAAGTAGCACAACTCACCAACATGCCGTAGGAACTGACTACGAAGATCATGTAGATGTCAGCGGCCGTGTAGAGAATGAGCCAGGTGAGGTAGCGGGTCTTGGCAAGCGTCTTCACGACTAGCACCACCCCGATGACCACCTGCACCACCAGGATCAACGCGGACGACCACACCCACGACAGCACCAGTTTCCGCTGCCTCTGTTGGCAGTACCACAACACTATCAGACTCTCAGTTGAAGGGCTGAGCACCTTGAAGCTAGTGAAACGGTCTTGATCCGTTGTTGCTGACTTCACTTGGGGTTAACCCCACTTGAGCCTGACCTCACCACCTTGGTTTATACCTACTTGCCTACCCATTCCCCAGGAGCTGTATAACCCTCACGAGTTTAACGCTATTTAAACCAATAATAGTACTAATGGTTCTTCTGATTTGGTGTAGATTTCTTTATTTCAAGAATAACTTACCAGTAAAGTACAACTGCGGTAGGCCTACTTGCCCATGCTTTGCAAATCCAACTCACAAACATTCCAAACCGAGTTTAGAGCCTCACATAAATATACATTGGCTTAAGTCTATAAATAATACAGAAAATGAAGCATTAAGAAGAAAAGTGAATATACTCACGAGTCTCAAGCCGACCAAGAGAATCAAACAAAAGAGCATCTCAATGATAACCATCACGAAGTGAACCATCGTCCAGGTGCCACCTGCAAGAATAATATCGTAGTGGTAGTAGTAGTAGTAGTAGTAGTAGTAGCATTATTAATAGCTACATTAGTCGCAAAAGTAGTAGTAGTCGTAGCGATAGTGGAAGTAATAGTGATAAAAACAGGAAAAATAATGGGAGTAGTGGTAGGGAGAAGCTGTAGAAGTAGTAGTAGTAGTAGTAGTATTAGTAGTAGTAGTAGTAGTAGCAATACTAATAGTAGTCGTAGCGACAGTGGAACTAGTAGTAATATAAGTAGGGATAGTAATGGGATTAGTGGTGGAAGAAGCAGTAGTTGTAGGAATAGTCATAACGACAGTGGAAGTAGTAGTAATACAATTAGAAGTAGTTATAGTAGTAGTGGGAGAAGTAGTAGTAGTGGTAGCAATAGTAATAGCAGTAGTAGTAGTGATAATAGTAGTAGTAACAGAAGTTGGGCTAGCAATAGTAATAGTGAAGGTGGGAATAATAGCAGTAACGGGAATAGTAATAATAACAGCAGTATTGGTAGTAAGGATAGTAGTAGTGAATCAGTCGATCACACATTCAATAAGATACACAACAATCACAATTTAATCACATATACATATACTTCACTATACACAAAATGTTGCAAGGAAATATTATTAACAAATGTAGACTCTTGTAACGTTTATGCTGATAGCAATAATACCAACACCATAGCTGCTGCACGCAGCTTATGCTGACACCAATAATACCAACACCATAGCTGCTGCACGCAGCTTATGCTGACAGCAATAATACCAACACCATAGCTGCTGCATCAAGCTAATGCTGACAGCAATAATACTAACACCACAGCTTCTACACCTAGCTAATACTGGCAGCAATAACACCAGCACCAAAACTTCTGCATCCAGTTAATACTTACAGGCAGCAATAACACCACAACTTTTTACACACAATTCATCGTGTCCCTACTTTAACACAGTTATTTATTCTACAGGCGACACTGTTATATATAAGTTATTTGGTTTACCTCTTGCTTATCATTAGCTGCCGCCTAACATCAAAACACAAAGCTTATTATAATGCATTTTAATTGGACGTAGTGATCCTGCAATTAATTAACAGACTGTCATCAGAGTTGGCAAGAATATTCACCTTCGTTACTCTCAAGGAACAATCTTATTTTGTAAAAAAATATATCATTAATAATGTCGTCAATATAAAATTGAAATAAACAGGAGATAAAACACTGCCTTGCCTAACCCCACTACGTCACAAAACACTTACTAGAGGCTTCCATCTATACAAACTTTACATATTGATTTCTAGTATTTAAACAGTTCTGAATGTATAATATATAATGGGTTATCCTTTATTTTGCTCCAAGTAAAATGCTATTCATTTGTCGAAGAATTTAAAGAAAACAGACAATATATGAAATGATGCCTAAATTTTTGAATATACAAACATTACCTCCATCAAAATAAATCAAGCGTCAATTACAGATAAGCCGCATATGAAGTCAAATTGTCTTTGATTTAAGGGAAAATCTAATTTGAAATGCTAAGCAGGTGAGTTTGAAATTTTTTCCCAGTGCTTGAAGAGTGCCAATATATTATTAGATGATTCAAAAATGTTTACCTTCATGGTACTTAGGGGAGTGATGACCCATTTCAGCAATTTACAAAGCAAAAAATAACAAATACAATAATCAGAATTAACACTAAATATTTCCAAAAAACTTATCTGCAATATTCCTAAGAAAATAACAAAATACAACCCATCACGTTTGTTACATCAATAACACGTACATAGGAGAGAGGAGCTTACCACGACGTTTCGGTCCGACTTGGACCGTGTCTCATTCCATAAATCTAAACTAAAATTAATTTCTCAACTATGAATATATTGATAAGCATTTGTGTTTACCAACATCTGTCTTATTCTTAAACTTCTGAATAAACTGATCTTCATTTCCATGTATTTCCCCCTTACCCAAAATAAAATTAACCACAAAAAAAAAAAAAAAAAAATATTGACAGTAGTATCACTGACTCTCACTATCAGTAATATTGGTACTCTTAACACATTATTTTTAATCTCCTCACATCCTTTCCACACTTCCCTCCCTCCCTTACTCTCTCTCTCTCTCTCTCTCTCTCTCTCTCTCTCTCCTCTCTCTCTCCTCCCTCCTCTCTCCTCTCTCTCCCTCTCCTCTCTCTCTCTCTCCCTCCCTCCCTCTCTCCATCTCTCCCTCCCTCCCTCCCTCCCTCCCTCCCTCCCCCCCCCTCCCTCCCTCCCACCCTCCCTACCCTCCCTGAGAGACACTCACCTTCCAGTAGGAGGTTATACCACATCAACAACGCATCGTTTAACAAAATAAGCTGAAACAAAAGACGAAAAAGAACAAGATAAAAAATCAAGAAATACGATAGTCTGTCTGTCTGTCTGTCTGTCCTCTCTCTCTCTTCTCTCTCTCCCCCCTCCTCTCCTCTCTCTCTCCTCTCTCTCTCCTCTCCTCTCTCTCTCTCTCTCTCTCTCTCTCTCTCTCTTCTCTCTCTCTCTTCCCCTCTCTCTCCTCTCTCTCTCTCTCTCTCTCTCTCTCTCTCTCTCTTCTCTCCTCTCTCTCTGTCTCTGTCTCTGTCTCTGTCTCTCTCTCTCTCTCTCTCTCTCTCTCTCTGTCTCTCTCTCTCTCTTTCACTCACTCGTAGTTTTGCAAATAGGTTTATAAAGCGAGAAATGTTCTGAGTTCTACGATATATAAAATACTGTATATAAAAAAGACATCCCAAGACCTTTTTTATATACTTTTTATAAGCTTTCAAGACTTTTAAGACCCATCACATTCATATCTATCTTAAGATTATGAGGCGCATCTGAAAACGTGTTTCCCTCTTGATCTTATGTGTGTATGTATGTTTCTATGTAAGTATGTATGTACGTATGTATGTATATGTGTATATATATATACATTTATATATGTATATATATGTCGTGCCGAATAGGCAGAACTTGCGATCTTGGCTTAAATAGCAACGCTCATCGTGCCATGTAAGACAAGTGAAAATTTGTGTATGCAATAATTTCGCCCAAATCATTCTGAATCTAACGAAAAAAAATATATTTCACTGTGCTTGTTTAGTACTAAATTATTGTAAACGTATTTAAAATATATTTAGTTGGGTTAGGCTAAAATAAATTTCTGTTGTTATAATAAGGTTAGGTAAGTTTTCTAAGATTCTTTTGGTGCAAAATTAAAATTTTTTACATTAACATTAATGAAAAAAATATATCTTTAAACGTATAAGGAAAATTTGAAAGGACTTAATTTTAAATGAGTTCTTGCTAATTGACCAGTTTTACATATCGGCAGCGATAATATATATATAAATATATATATATATATATATATATATATATAATATATATATATATATATAATATAAAATAAATATATATATATAATATATATAATATATATATATATATTATATATAGAAATGATTATGTATAATAGTCAAGTATTTATATATACATATATATATATTATTATATGAATAATTATATATATATAATATATAATAATAAAAATATATTATTATTATATATATAAATTAGTGGTGTTAATTTGGTGTTGTTTGATTACGCTTAATTATGACTCTTTTTTTGAAAACAAATGTAATTTTTAAAATGTTTCTTCATTGTAAATGAAAGAAACTCCCTGATATTCTGAAAAAAATTCTTTAACTTAATAATTTGAAGCACATAATTTTAGAAAGTTTTAAAGCTTAATTAATTTGGACTGTTTATAGAAGAAACAGGTGTTGGCACTTATAAAGTAATGTACCCTATTTTGGGACATATTTATAATAATAAGCCATATGGCACTGATTAAAGTAAGTAGAATTCGTTGCACATATACCGCTTCCTCCATAATAGATAAAGGCTCCGCGGATGAAAAGTTGCAAAGTAAATCTTTGTTCATGCATTCTTGACGTCCTTAAGAACCTGATCGGAAATAAAATAAACATTAATAAATAATAATAATAAAAATATATAATAATATATAATAATATATATAATAATAATATAAAATAATTTATTTTATATTATAATGTTGTGTGTTATATCTGGGTTTACCTGGAGAGAGTTCCGGGGGTCAACGCCCTCCGCGGCCTTCGATCCAGCCTCTTGGGGAATCTAACTGATCAAACCAGTTCTTTACTGCTGCTGACGCAAACCAACACGAGCCACAGCGCTGTCAGAACTGACTTAGTGCCTTAATCCATTCAGCTTGAAGATCTGCAGGGTCTGTTAGTTATCCCACTGTAGTACTGTGATTGGAGAGAAACAGGTGTTCACTATATAAAGTGACTGTAACCCTTTGTGGCCACTATTTTAATAAGAGCAGCCAGTGTTGCACATCTTTAAAGTAAGAGAAGTTCGTGTTGGCCTTGCCAGCTTCCCTCCAGCAATAGAGTAACAGGCTCCGCGGATGGAACAGCTGCAGCAGCAAAATCTTTGTTCATGCATCTCGTGACGTCCTAAAGGACCTGATCGGAATAAAGATAAACATGTAATAATAATAATAATAATAATAATAATAATAATAATAATAATAATAATAATAATAATAATAATAATAATAATCTTATTCTTCTTATTATTATGAATGTTGGTGTTGTTATTATTACCTGGAGTTTACCTGGAGAGAGTTCCGGGGGTCAACGCCCCCGCGGCCCGGTCTGTGACCAGGCCTCTTGGTGGATCAGAGCCTGATCAACCAGGCTGTTACTGCTGGCTGCACGCAAACCAACGTACGAGCCACAGCCCGGCTGGTCAGGAACTGACTTTAGGTGCTTGTCCAGTGCCAGCTTGAAGACTGCCAGGGGTCTGTTGGTAATCCCCCTTATGTATGCTGGGAGGCAGTTGAACAGTCTCGGGCCCCTGACACTTATTGTATGATCTCTTAACGTGCTAGTGACACCCCTGCTTTTCATTGGGGGGATGTTGCATCGTCTACCAAGTCTTTTGCTTTCGTAGTGAGTGATTTTCGTGTGCAAGTTCGGTACTAATCCCTCTAGGATTTTCCAGGTGTATATAATCATGTATCTCTCCCGCCTGCGTTCCAGCTAATACAGGTTCAGGAACCTCAAGCGGTCCCAGTAATTGAGGTGTTTTATCTCCGTTATGCGTGCCGTGAAGGTTCTCTGTGCATTTTCTACGTCAGCAATTTCACCTGCCTTGAAAGGTGCTGTTAGTGTGCAGCACCTTTCTACATTCTACATCCACACAATACACACTCGTATCTGCTGTTTGGTCTGTTAATGGATTTGAAGATTGTCTCCCCACTACCTGGTCTCAGACCAGGCCTCCTAGGATGAGAGGAAATATTTCAGAACTAAGAACTATTAAAAATGACATAGAGAAGTAAATGTGTGTTTACTGACTGTACGTAGAATTTTGTAGAATTTACCTATCTTCATAAGATGTCACAATGGAGAAAGAGTAGATGAATAATCCTGTCAGAGTGGATAAAAATATTAACAGATTTCCTTCCATTTCAGTGATTTACAACAGGATCATTGCTTCATACACCCACGAAACATCAACTCCTGCACCTTTCTGTATCCGCAGAAGGCACTTGCGGTCCTTTCGACCCACACATCACACACTAAGCGCTTCTTACATCCACACAGTACACTCTGGGACATTCCTACGTTTGCCACAGTGCACTAAGCAACTTCCCTTCACACACACACAAACACACACACACACATATTTCACCCTGAGACTTTCCTACACCCATACTCTACACTATGAAACCTTCAGTGCCGACATAGTACACTCAGGGATTTTCATCCACGCAGTACCCACTGGGACCTTCCTACACTCACACAGTACCCCCAGGGACCTTTCTACACGCATAAAGTACACCCAGGGACCGTCCTACACCTACATGGTATACCCAAGTACCTTTCTACAGGCATACAGTACACTCCGGGACCTTCCAGTGACTTGTCACGTACCACAATCAAGCGTAGACTGCAGGAGAGCTAAGGTGCTGAGCCTGGAGATGCTGTAAGCTTTATACTGATTGTAAGATGACTCACTTCCTGCGTATGCATGATACCTAATTTCTTCATCATGGTAAAGTACGCCTCTTTTTTTTATACATTTACACAAGTGTTTTTCGGGGTTAAATTAAGAGTTCTTGCTTTTATTTACATGCTAAGAGATGTTACCCACCTTGGTTAATTCGAGATCAACTTTCATGTTATAAAACATGCAAATAGGGAACAGGATGAAATTAAAGAATGTGCACAATCGCACACACACACACGCACACACACACACACACACACACACACACACACACAACACACACACACAACACACACACACACACACACACACACACACACACACACACACACACACACAGGAGAATAAGGAGAGCAGCGTAGAGCCCGAAACGAATATGCACAGATAAGAAGGGAGGCCCAAAGACAATATGAAAATGACATAGCAGCGAAAGCCAAATCTGACCCGAAACTGTTGTACAGCCACATCAGGAGGAAAACAACAGTCAAGGACCAGATAATCAGGCTAAGGAAGGAAGGAGGAGAGACAACAAGAAATGACCGTGAAGTATGTGAGGAACTCAACAAGAGATTCAAAGAAGTGTTCACAGAGGAGACAGAAGGAGCTCCAGAAAGACGGAGAGGTGGTGCACACCACCATGTGCTGGACACAGTGCACACAACCGAGGAAGAAGTGAAGAGGCTTCTGAGTGAGCTAGATACCTCAAAGGCAATGGGGCCAGATAACATCTCCCCATGGGTATTGAGAGAGGGAGCAGAGGCGCTATGTGTACCCCTAACAACAATACATATATCGAAACAGGGAGATTGCCTGAGGCATGAAAGACAGCAAATGTAGTCCCAATCTTTAAAAAAGGAGACAGACATGAAGCATTAAACTACAGACCAGTGTCACTGACATGTATAGTATGCAAAATCATGGAGAAGATTATCAGGAGAAGAGTGGTGGAACACCTAGAAAGGAACGATCTCATCAACAGCAGCCAACATGGTTTCAGGGACGGGAAATCCTGTGTCACAAACCTACTGGAGTTCTATGACATGGTGACAGCAGTAAGACAAGAGAGGGGTGGGTGGATTGCATTTTCTTGGACTGCAAGAAGGCGTTTGACACAGTTCCACACAAGAGATGGGTGCAAAAACTGGAGGACCAAGCAGGGATAACAGGGAAGGCACTACAATGGATCAGGGAATACTTGTCAGGAAGACAGCAGCGAGTCATGGTACGTGGCGAGGTGTCAGAGTGGGCACCTGTGACCAGCGGGGTCCCACAGGGGTCAGTCCTAGGACCAGTGCTGTTTCTGGTATTTGTGAACGACATGACGGAAGGAATAGACTCTGAGGTGTCCCTGTTTGCAGATGACGTGAAGTTGATGAGAAGAATTCACTCGATCGAAGACCAGGCAGAACTACAAAGGGATCTGGACAGGCTGCAGACCTGGTCCAGCAATTGGCTCCTGGAGTTCAATCCCACCAAGTGCAAAGTCATGAAGATTGGGGAAGGGCAAAGAAGACCGCAGACGGAGTAGAGTCTAGGGGGCCAGAGACTACAAACCTCACTCAAGGAAAAAGATCTTGGGGTGAGTATAACACCAGGCACATCTCCTGAAGCGCACATCAACCAAATAACTGCTGCAGCATATGGGCGCCTAGCAAACCTCAGAACAGCATTCCGACATCTTAATAAGGAATCATTCAGGACCCTGTACACCGTGTACGTTAGGCCCATATTGGAGTATGCGGCACCAGTTTGGAACCCACACCTAGCCAAGCACGTAAAGAAACTAGAGAAAGTGCAAAAGTTTGCAACAAGACTAGTCCCAGAGCTAAGAGGTATGTCCTACGAGGAGAGGTTAAGGGAAATCAACCTGACGACACTGGAGGACAGGAGAGATAGGGGGGACATGATAACGACATACAAAATACTGAGAGGAATTGACAAGGTGGACAAAGACAGGATGTTCCAGAGATTGGACACAGTAACAAGGGGACACAGTTGGAAGCTGAAGACACAGATGAATCACAGGGATGTTAGGAAGTATTTCTTCAGCCACAGAGTAGTCAGCAAGTGGAATAGTTTGGGAAGCGATGTAGTGGAGGCAGGATCCCTACATAGCTTTAAGCAGAGGTATGATAAAGCTCACGGCTCAGGGAGAGTGACCTAGTAGTGATCAGTGAAGAGGCGGGGCCAGGAGCTCGGACTCGACCCCTGCAACCTCAACTAGGTGAGTACTAGGTGAGTACACACACACACAGCTAGCAGTAATCAGTGGTAGTGGAACGTCAGTGAACAATACTACGAGTGATAATTAAAGTTATTAGTTAAAGAAAGTGAGAGGAAAGCTGAAATCATAATATTTCAAAGGGCAAGCCGTTGGGGGTCTTAGGCGCTGTTGCCACATTGGCAGTGGTAGGCCTTAAGAAGTGACGTCACGACAAGTTGTGTGCCATTATAAATATAAAGTGAAGTGTATATAATGTGAAGTGTATACTATTAGCAGTGAAGAGTGAAATCGCGTGAGGAAGCGGGATGTATGAGAATATATTGTTATAAACATCACTGGTGAAGGATCTCCAAAATAGGGATTTAAGGCCTACGTACGACGACTTCGTCATCAGCAGCTGGCAACCTGTCACCGCACCATTGCAGCACAAGTTTATTCGCCTATTTGTGGTTTGCATGTTGACTGCCCTGGCTGGCCTTGCATACTGTTTGATACTGGTCACTCACTCCTGCAAGCTATTACCAGAATTAGAATAGAAATAATATAGACATAGAGAATGTAGTGTTGACGAGTGTGAGAAGGTAGGTGGGACAAGCTTTTAAGGGCAACATTGTAAGACGGTGCTAGGGTCAAGTCCCAGGAGGGTTGTGTCAGGTCACAAGAAGTTGCGGCCAGTCATTACACCGCACAAGACACTCACACACACACACACACACATGCACACATGCACACAGGCAGTTATTAGCAGTAAGAATACTTTAAAGCTTGGAAGTCCTCTCTCAAACGTGAACAAGGAAAATGATAAAACCAGCAAAAATTATTATGTAAATCCAGAAAGGGCAGTAAGTTGGAGAGAGTTAGCATAATTGGGAAAGATAAATGAGACTAAATTTGTGCCTACACGACGGGTCTTTCAACCACACCACCTACCACCCCTAACCCTCCCTCCCTCACACACAACGCACACACCACACAAGTGTAGACACTCACAAACACACACACAACACCACCACACACACACACACAAACACACACATACACACAACTACACACACACATACACACACACACTACATAAAACACATTACACACACACATACACACACCACACACACACACACACACACACACACACACACACACACACACTCACACACACACACACACACACATATATATATATATACACACACACACAAACACACCACACACCACACACACACCACACACAACACACCCACACACACACATTACCACACACCACACACAAAACACAACACACACACACACACACCACACACACACACACGCAACCACACACACACAACTTATATATATATCACACACACACCACACACCACACAACACACCACACCCACCACACCACACACACACACCACACATACACACCCCACACACCACACACACACCACACCACACACCACACACACACCACACACAACACTACACACACACACCCACCACACACCACACAAACGCCCACACACACACTACACACACAACCACACACACACACACACACACACACACACACACACACGCACATACACACACACCCACACCACAACACCCACACACACCCTCCTCCACTTGACACAAACACTTGACACAAAACGTACCCCCCTCCCCTAACCACCTCTCCCCCCTTCCCTAACCACCTAACCTTAGCCACCTACCCCATCCCAAAACGATCTTAACCCTCCCCAAACGTTCTAACCCCCCACTACCTCCATCCATCCAATAACCATCTCCCCCTCACCCATAGCCATCCATCCCCTCTCTCCCCTCAAACCATCTAACCCCTCCCCCAAACTATCTCTACCCCTCCAATAACCATCTCCCCCTCCCCCCACAACCATTCCATCCCCTCTCTTCCGAACCATCTTTTCCCCTCCCCCCTAACCACCGTCCACCCCTTCTGTGGTGTTAGATAGTCGTGAGCACATGGGGGAACCTAGAACAGGATGAGGACAAGGGGCTCCAAGACGAATCTGGGCAAGGAGGAATGGGAGGTAAGGGAGCTCAAAAAATGGGGAGGAAGACTGTGGGAAGGGAAGGGAGACTAGATGTGCTGGAAAGGAAGATGGAAGAGAGGTAAGCAGCAGAATGCAGATGTGGAAGCAACAGGCCACAGCATGTAAAATTAGAATTCAACGATAGAGAGGATTAGAGAGGAGAGCAGAGGACATACTGACAACAGCACCAGAGACAAAGATTATTACCAGAAGTAGCATCGGGCTATGGCTACCTCAATACACAGACATCAGGTTGAAGGAAGCTGGGGAAACTAAACTGATGCAGAGGTCCTGTCAAACCCACATAGGGCCCAAAACAAAGACAGGGGACATAGGACAGATGGTAGAGGTTGGAAGACATTGAAGGAACTAGGACTTGTGCAAGGACCTTACCAGTTACTGTGGGGGCCAGGATACAGGTGAGCAGGAAAGGACAAACCAAGAGCATAGGGGCCATAACTGGGAAGGGACTGAAGACAGGAACAACCTCCACGGGAAGGAACCTAAAACACATAGAGGATGCACTGGGTGTCACATTGGGAGGTGGGAAAAGGCCGAGGAGATTCATGTTTGTCTCGATGGGACTAGACGAAGACTAAGGGGGGAAACTTATGATGAAATGAAAGCAGGAGGAGAAAAAGCGATGAAGATATCATTGAACGGTGATAGGCGAGGGGGACAGGACCCAGGTAGGGCAATTTTTCGGAGAAAG